AGGCACCCGGCCGGACCACACCAGCGACCCGGGCCCTTTGGTGGCACCGCACTCACCCAGGGGCGGCACAAGCACCCAGAGCAGGTAAGGAGGCACATCTGGTGGCCCCGCTGCCACAGTGGATTCGGGGGCCTCTGTCTCCCCACCGCGCCCCGCCCCACCCACGAAGCCCCTGGGTTCTTCCCCCTACAGCGGGCAGCCGGGATGCGGGTGGATTAGACAGCAGTAGGCGTGGAGTCCCTCCATGAAGGTTCGGTCACACTTTGGGGATCTAGGGTGGTGGGGGGCCCTAAGGTGGGAGGCTTCGGCCACTCGCGGGGTGGAGAGGACGAGGGGAGTGGCGAGGCTGATAAACGGAGTTTGGGAGGGAGGGGGCTAGCAGAAGGAAGCTGCTGGAGAAGGAGGAAATGCTGAATGCGAAACCCTTGAAGCGCTGGAGTCCCAAAGATTCTGTGGTGGGTTGAACCGAGCGTTTCTGTCATCGGAACCGTTCCCAGCCGGGAGGACCGAAAGGGCAGGGTGTGAGGGGCGCAGCAGAGAAAGATGGAGGGTGGGGGTGGGGTGGGGCGGGAGTAAGGGGAGAAGGAAGAGGAGGAATTTGCTCTGATCGGAAGGAAGAGGGTGGGTTTTTGGTTTGGCAAATGGGCTTCCTTGACCCGTGGGACTCCTGAATCTTGGTTTGGGGTAACCAAGGAACACGAGGTTCACGCGACAGCGTGCATCCAGAAGCACATCCAGAGCCTATCAAAGCCCCAGTCTCGAACGTGGCTGAATTGCCTTCCCATCAACCTGTGGGTTACCTCGGAGCTTTTTATTTTTTGAGCCATTGGCCCAGAGAATGAGCCGCACGCCTCCTCCGCGGTCCGGGCCTGCGGTGTGCGAGCCTGACAGCGCGCAGCCCTAATGGGGCTCAGCTTCACTGTGCGCTAAGGTTTGGGGTTTAGCAGTTTTTTTTTGCGTAAGGCGCAATCGCCGAAGTCTGACGTCCAGTTCCCGCTCCCCATCGCCAGAAAAATAAAAATTGCGGAACCCCTGGATCCGTTTGCACACACAATGCGTGGCTACGAACCGCATTCTTTTCATGAATATTCATCGAACGCTTGGCTGGGCTCCTTATCTGCTTCCCCAGAGACATTTCCGCCTTGAAACGAACTCGGTGGACAGCCTTTGCCCGAGTAATTTTCACTCTGCTGAAATTAGCGTGGCGTACATGGGTGCATTTTCAGTGCCTTGTGCAGGGTTGACACACCTCTGTCTTCGCCACGACCTCTAGCACTTGCTTGGCGGGTTAAAACCAAACACTAGCACTGAGGTGGTCTTCTGCTATAGGGGTGTGGATCAGCCCCCTCCCGCCCCCACCCACCCTTCTGGGAATACAGCCGGGGCTAACCGATCTCGGGTACTGCGGGCAAAATGAATGAATCGGGACTGTAATTACCTATTCCTTTGTCTTGGCCTCGCGCATGCGCTGGAGAGCAGGGTGTGGAGGGCCTGGCAGCCCCATCTGATCTCCCCATCATCCACCCACCCACTCCCCTCCGAAGCCTAGGAACAAAGGCTTTTGCCCTAAATGTTTCTTAAAGCCCTGGGACACAAATGACAGCCCCCCCCCCCGTGTGTCTGTTTCCTCTTTCCCAGGCTATCACTCATCATTTGCTGTCTTACTGATTTCAACTGACCAAAAACAAGATTAGCCTTTATGGCGAGGGCAAATTGTGGATTAAATATATTTTAAACGTGCACTGCTATTTTACTTTCTAGAACTGTCCATTGTTCTTTTTCCTGTAACATATCCCTCTACTGGGATGGGTGGCTTTCTTAATTTGCATCAATTAACCATTCCTCTTGACAGAGCTTTGTTGCTGGTCATTTGACTAAAGGACATTGGTCTTAAACCAGCAGTGGGTGTTGCCCCTAGTAACACCACCTGGGAAAAAATTAAGACATCTTGGCATTTATGCGAACAAGATGGCCTACAAAAACCGGAGCGAGAAAATGGTTACCTTGTCAGGATCCTAACCCTTCTGGTTTCTCTTGATTCCCATGCTACTGTTTCATTAAGAGTTCCAAAATGCAAACCCCGTGGAGATGGCAGTTAGGACTGCCGGGGTGAATATGGTGACGTTCTAAGTTCATGATGCTTCTTTTAAAAAAATCTATTTCTACAAAATCTAACCAGAAGCCGTGGTATATACATTGATGGCTGATTTTCTTTCAAATGATGTATTTTCCAGGTTATAACCCTTAAGAATTCTTTTCGGGTTTGTTTTTACCTTCCTAAAGGTGACTTACTATATATATCAAATAGGAGTTAAGTACTACATTTTCTGCAATGTAGTAGGTTATGTGTAAAAAAAAAAATTCATGCTGAAGCATTCTCAGTATATACTGGTGCAGTAACACGTGGCGTGAGATGGAAGTCATCTCTTTTGTTCCTTTTAATAAAAACTTGATGTTAGCCATGTTTAATATTACCAGAGCCTGTAATTGCTATGGTGGCAGCCTGGCTGTATTCTAGGTAGCATGGATCATTCCTTCTGTGCTGCTTAGTATTGAATGGCTTATTGTAGCTTAGAGGGCTATAGGTGCTTTTTCTTTCTTTCTTTCTTTTTTTTTCCTTTTCTATTAGGTAGAATTTAGCAGGGTGGGAATACAGACTAATTTTGTGTTGAAATACAGACTAAATATACAAGCTGACATATGCCAGTATACCCTGAATTCAGGGAGTTTTGAGTTTTTAAACAAGATTATTTAAAAATCAAATATTAGCAATTATCAGTTATTTTGTTTCTACAATTTTATTTATTTATTTATTTATTTTTGCCAAGCTTTAGCAGGTAGAGGAAGGGAACTAGTTGAATCTTTTGATAAAATGTACCAACAGTGACTGCATGACAGTGGCCTTATATCTCTAACTGGTACTTAGGCCACCGTTGTGGTTTAGAGAATGGATCCTTTTTTTTCCCTCCCCACCCACATCACACTAATTTAAATGTTCAGAGCCCTAGGCATTTAGGCTCCCTATCCTTGGAGGCCTCTTAATAATTCTCTGGAATTACCTGAAAAAACTACATGATGGTTTAAGATCTCTTTGGGTTTTTTCTCCCCCAATTTCACACCAGAACAATTTCACGTCATTTTCTTTCCATGGTTAAAATAACTGGAATATGATACCAGAGAAGAACTTGCCTTTGCAGGAGATTTGATCACTGTAAAATGGATGTCTGTGTTGTTTGTGATAGTTTTGTAAAATATTGCAACATCTAGAACCATTTTGAAAGCTATTAAAGCACCATGTATATACGCACATGTGTATGCATAGTGTGTATGTACATACACGCATGGATATCTATTTATATTTATGTACAGATTGTAAAAATCTTATTAATGATATGTGCTAAACTAGTTGGTATAGAACATTATTCTCTAGTGGTTTTACATTGGTCTTTGGAAAATAATCAGTTTCTGTCTTTCTAAGTATATGCTTAGAAAAGGCTCACTAGTCTACTAATATGCTCATCTTCAATTTCTCCCAATGTATTCCTAAAATAAATGGCTGCCTGGAGTATCTGAAGCTAAGATGTTCATTTAGGGGCTTCAAAACTCATTAAACACTAATGAACGTTCAAAGCTGGAGTACACAATGCTTACTAAATAAAGGACTTGTGCATTTTTTTCTGTTTAATTTTTGTGATCTCTTGTAAAATTTCATTTTTCAAAATATGTCCCCAAAAGACCTGTTAAAAAGTAAAACAAGTATCTCTGGTGTTTGATTCTGTTGAAAGAGACATTTTGATTTGTTCAGGCCTTTCTCACTCAACTCATCTTGACCTATTCGTTTCACACCTTCTTGGTCTTCCTGATGATTGTGTGAACTGGAATCCAGGTAGCTATTGAGGGCAAACCATATGTGGATGCATTGGATGGTCCCTGGGACAGATGCAGAATCCTTATCATCTTTTCAAGTTTTCTCAAGTCAGTCTTTTCCATTTTTTTTTTCTGTCTCTTAAGTCTTTAGATAACCTGATGAATGTGAACTTTACGGCTTGAAATTACCATGAAGTTGCAAATAGAAGTTTTTGAAGGATAAAAATACTGTCTGGGCATCTGAAAGGTTCTCAGATACCCTAACTTGGGTCCTCTAGTGGAAACATATTTGAAATTCTGTAAGGTGTTGTATGGAGATTTGCCCAGGAGTAGATTGTGTGGTGTCAGGATGGCCACCCTCCGTGAATTTCCCAGGGCTGCTATGTAACTCAAGAGGTGGCATTTAAGTTCTTTTGAGAAAAATATAGGTAGTCTTAAAACCACAGCAGTTCCCAGCCTGCCAGAAGAAGGATTTTGTTACATGCCATTCCCCGCATAGCTATTCAGACAGATAGGTGGCTGTCATGTGATAAAAATTGTCTGTGAACCTTCTCAAGAGTAAAAACAATCATACAGAATCAAATTCTCAACAGGATAGAGTTAAATTTTAATTCTGAGGAGACAACAAGCCTAAGTGGGATTACAACAGCATTCTCCTTTTCCCACTGGAAGTTAGCAGGAGAATGGAGTGGGAGGCCAAGAGAGGCAAAGGGGCCATTTTCCCTCTACTGCAAACTAGGATTTAAATGCAAATCCAGGGATAGCAGAAGCCAAAGCCATCAGCGCCCAGAGGTTGTGATTGAGCAGATTGGAAGTCTAGAAATACATTCCTGAAAGCTTTGGAGACTTAGAAATAGAAACCATCTGTAAGCACAACAGGGGCCCAGGGCATAAGGAAATACTTCAAGATAATATAGGAAAATGGTGCTCAGTGGGGAAGGCAAAGTCCTTACACAACATTTTTTTCCTTATCACTTGAACATTTTATGAACTTTTACTGCTTTTGAAAATTTATTTTGGATATGGTAAGAAGAACTGGGCTTCAATGGCTTGTTTTTTGAATTTCTCCTTGAAATAAATATTTCAACAATTGTGCTTTGTGTAGGGAGTATGACTTTTAGACACTGTGACTTATAGGGTTTGGTGTGGTTGTGGCCAAATTCACCCTGATTAGTCCTCTCTTTCAGCCATGTACTAGCTGTGTGACTTTTGTCAAA